CAGCACAAGGTGGGGCTTGAGTGGCAGCCAAACAGCGCCCGTTCATCCCCTCATGGCAACAGTCTGGGCGTGCCCCACTGGAGGGCAAGGGGCCAACGACCCCTGCCCACATCATCTTCCTCTCCATCACCTTCCTCAGCCCTAGGGATGACCTGTCCCATTGTGTTCCAAGGGGATTTGTATCTCTCTCGCAGAGTGGAGCCAAGCCAAGGAGGAACTCAGCTCTGACAATGGGGGACATCCAGTTGACTTTGCTAAAGGCACAATGGGCCTTACAGTGAACAATAAAGTCACATTGTACAATATTCTGGTTGGTTTCACACCCCAATATAATCGCTTTCTCACCCCTCTATGCTCCACTGATCATCTAAATCAAAAGTACCACCCTTACACCATGGCAACCATTCTGCATTCTCATTGATACAGTCGGTTACCATGGCAACCATTCTGCATTCCTACTGTTACCTTGGTTACCATCGCAACCATTCTGAAATCTCATTGTTATGGTCAGTTACCATGGCAACCATTATACATTTCCATCTCCAGGGTGGGTTACCATGGTAACCATGATGCATTCCCATTGTTACATCAGTTACCACGGAAACCATCTGTAACAAACAGATACTTTATGAATGCCAAAGATTATGTTTCTCCATTGTTTCTTCATCAAAATCTTCCTCTCAAACTTTCTCTGTCAGCTCTCTGCAGAGACAGAGAAAAAAAAGGGCAGAAAACTGCTACTCGCCCACACACGCACCAGCTCAGGGGAAAGGTAGCATGGTGGTACCTTTTCTCTGCTTCTAGAAGTAATCACAAGTATTCTATAAGTTTTTTTTATTTTTTCCTTTGTCTCTGCATCTCTTAGCAATTAATAAAATCAGGATTTTGGTATCAACAGATAACCTGCGTGTGTCTTACTTTTGCTCAAAGGAATATTCAAATCTGAAGTTCTTTCTGCAATATTTCAACAGATTGTAACACGAGACCATGGAAAAGTAGGAGAAAAGGGAGAAGGGTGGAAAAGG